CACTATGTGCAGTGTGCTGTACATGACTTAGGAACTAGTAATATCTTTCCAAACAAAATTTTGATTGCATTTTAAACAGTGACAGACATTATTATTATTACTTAATGTACTGAATGTAAAGTTGGAACTGAGGAAATTTTTCTGTGCATTGGGAAGTATTAAGGGGTCTGAGTGAATTGCTAAACATCAATCAATCATATACCTGATTAGATTATAAATTGAGGATACTAACATTAAGGATTTATATTTTGAGACTGTTGTGAGAGCCCATATTTCTAAGAATTATTTTGACACTTGAATCTATTCCAGAGCTGTTACTCTTCAGGGTATGTGAGAGAACAGTACAAAGATGCTGGTGCTTACTAGCTAACCTTTTTTTTTTTTGATTTTTTAAAAACTGTTTTTCTATTATAGTTGTCCCAGTCTCCCCCATTGCTCTCCCGTGCCCTACCCACCCGACTTACTATATATACATATTCTAACTACAATACAAAAACTTTACACCCAGTATTGATAGTGAAGTAATTATCTTAAACTGAAAAATCTCAAAGGACATTGCTGAATAGATTTGTTTTTTTATTTGGTTTTGGTTTATTTTTAAAGCAAGAAAGATTACATAAAATAAATTTTATTACAAATACCTGCTCTTTAGGAAGCACACATTACATAGTAAAAGGGTTTCCTTTGAAATGTAGAACTAGTAAACATAAGAGTTCTATGTTTATTTTTGTTTTATTTTTATCCTCACCTGAGGTCACTTTTTCATTGCTTTTAGAAGGGTGGGGAGAAACATTGGTTGGTTGCCTTCTCATACAGATTCCAACGGAGGGTTGAACCCGCAACCTACATATGTGCCCTGACGGAATGAAACTGCAGCCTTTTGGTGTGTGTGGCTGCCTTCAACCAACTGAGCCACCCGGTCAGGGCGAGAGTTCAGTGTTCAAACTGACAAGTATTCGAGGAGTAAGCATAGAATGGGATCAATTCTTAACTGGGGAGAGGATTCCTTACTACTTAAAGATTCTGTGAATTACATTGCAATTCCTATTAATACAGCTTTAAATATTCACATTGCTTGATACTAAAATTCTCTATAAAGATTAAAACAAGAAAACATCTCATACTAAAAAACCCTTTTATGCATCAAAATCACAGCTTCTGAAAGCAGGAAAATGTCCAAATACATGTTGGATTAGAATCTGTAACAAATTGATTAAAAACAGGAACACTGACATCCAAGTAGTAGCCTGGGTTTAAAACTTTTTCCATGGCAGTCTAGGATGTCTTAGTTTACCCAATTTTAAAAATATTTTATGCTGTTAAAGTATATATTGCATAAATATTTTTCATATATCCTTAAAATTTCAAAAGTCACTGGAGTTTGCAAGAACGGTGTAATTTCGGATGTCTAACTTCCAGATAACCACATTCCCAGTTACATTATTCAGAAACTTGGTCATTTTTTTTCCTGTAGAGGGGGAGAAGTCGAGGGTTCCAAATCCCCCTCAGAGCGAGAAGCAAGCTGGTGGCGCTGGGGGCTGGCGCCGCGGGCCTCTGCAGAGGCAGTGCTTTCGGTCTTGCTGGGTAATTTTTCGTTACGGATTGAGCAAAGGCAAATTGTTGTGATAAACTGGTATTTTTTAAAAAATATTAATTTTTGATGCTTCAAGCACATGTTAACTGATTTTTTTTTATTCCTCCTTTTGGTTCCTCACCTTGTTCTTAAATAGGACTTTCATGTTATTGAAACCTCAAAAGCTGATCCACCCAGGATGAACAAAGTGTCACCAAGGGGGGAAAAACATTTTTTATCGTTACAGAAAACAAATGTTAAGATTATATATAAATGTATTCTTTACATTGGATATTGTATTAGAGTCCTCCTTACAGGCAATTAAATAGTTTTAGCACTCTTAGCATTAGCATTGCTAGATTAGTGTCGATAGCTACAGTTTTCAAATGTATAACCTGAAAATGAAGTTAATTTTGCATTATAAGAGCACACCACAATCTATGTAAAAAGATTGTCCATTTGGTGTATTTTTTTAAAAAAGAGAAGGCACTTTCATATTAACAAGTAGCATGTGTATTAATTTTAGATTTTCATATTTGTTGTGTCTGTATTCAGTAAAGTAAAATTAAGCATTCAAATGTTTGTTGATGGCAACATTAACTGTTAAATTAAAGCACCTTATCCTCTGCTGCTTAAACTTGCTTGTAATTGCACCTTTGTTACCTGCACATTTTCACATAGAATATTGTTGTAACATTGCTTCATGTGGGTCTGGATGGAAGGTTAGTGGGCCTACAGGATCATTTATTTATGTTGTTTATAATTCCATAATATATTGTAGACCAGCTGTTAAGTTCATTTCTTTAAAAATAAAAGCCTCTTCCATTTGGCTGGTCTATTGAATAATTTCTTTTTTTCTTTTAGCTTACGAGGCATGGGGAATACACTAAGTGAAAAACAAAAAAGCTTAATAAGGAGTGTGAAATAGTTATAAATTTTCCTGATTTAAAATCTGTAGAGCTTAAATCTCTATTAATCACAATATTAATCACTAAATATCATAGTCCCATGTTATAGTCAGTCAGAAAGCAATACGTTCAGAGGAAAACTAGAGAAGTAGAGAAGGCCAGATTTAGACACTGACAGATTAGACAGTGTCTAGGTAGTTCAATTTAATTAACAAAGTGACTTAAGATTTCTGCCATTTACTACAGTGGCCCTCAGCCAGGGGCAGTTTTGCTCATCACGGGAGGTTTGGCAATGTCTGGAGACATTTTGATTGTCACGACTGGGGAAGAAGGTGGTACTGGTATCTAGTGGGTGCTGCCCAGCATTCCACAAAGCACAGGGCTGTCTCCTCAGACAGGACTTACCCAACCCAAAGTATCAATAGCGGTGAGAATAAGAAACCTTACTTTATGTTTACAGTGTGATACTGTCAAAGTATTGAGTAATTAAGATTTTGCATGCAAATGACATATAACTGACAGTGAATCTGGTATGTCATGGAAAGAAACCTAGTCACTACTCCCAGCTCTGCAAGGTAAGCAGGTGACGTTATGCTTCCAGAAATATTTACATTAAACATTTTTTATACATGTTTTATTGATTATGCTATTGTAGTTGTCCCATTTCCCCCTTTATTCCCCTCTGCCTTGTACCCCCTTCCTCACCAGCATCCCCGTCCTGCCTTAGTTCATGTCCATGGGTTGTACATGTACCTTCTTTGGCTTCTCCATTCCCTATACTATTCTTAACCTCCCCCTGTCTATTTTGTACCGAGCAATTATGCTTCTTATTCCCTGTACCTCTTCCCCTATTCTCCGTCTTTCCCTCCCTGCTGATAATCCCTTCATGTGATCTCCATTTCTGTGATTCTGTTCCTGTTCTAGTTTGCCTAGTTTGTTTTTAATTATGTTCAGTTGTTGATAGCTGTGGGTTTGTTGTCATTTTGCTGTTCATAGTTTTTGATCTTCTTTTTCTTAGATAAGTCCCTTTAGTATTTCATAAAATAAGAGCTTGGTGATGATGAACTCTTAACACATGGGAAGCACTTTATCTGCCCTTCCATTGTGAATGATAGCTTTGCTGGGTAGGGTAATCTTGGATATGGGTCCTTGTCTTTCACAGCTTTAAATACTTCTTCCCAGCCCCTTCCTGCCTGCAAGGTTTCATTTGAGAAGTCAGCTGATAGTCTTATGGGAAGTCCTTTGTAGGTAAATATCTCCTTTTCCCTTGCTACTTTTAAGATTCTCTCCTTACCTTTAATCATGGGAAATGTAATTGTGATGTGCCTTGATGTGCACTTCCTTGGGTCTAACTTCTTTGGGACTCTCTGAGCTTCCTGGATCTCCTGGAAGTCTGTTTCCTTCTCCAGATTGGAGAAGTTCTCCATTATTTTTTCAAATAAGTTTTCAATTTCTTGCTCTTCCTCTTTTCCTTCTGGCACCCCTATGATTCAGATGTTGGAATGTTTCAAGTTGTCCCAGAGGTTCCTGAGCTTCTCCTCATATTTTTGAATTTTCTTCATTCTGTCTGGTTGAATGTTTATCTTTTTCTTCTCCCAATCATTGATTTGAGTCCGTTTCCTTCCCTTTACTGTTGGTTCCCTGTATATTTTTATTTCACCTTGAGTAGCCTTCACTTTTTCCTCCATTTTGTGACCATACTCAACCAATTCAGTGAGCATCCAGGTTACCAGTGTCTGCATCTGATAGGTTGGCTATCTGCTCATCACTTAGTTTTATTTCTGGAGCTTTGATCTGTCCTTTCCATACTTGGGCCATACTTGCCTCAGCACGCCTTTTACATTGGGAGGGGCGGGGCCTTAGGTATTCCCAGGGCAGGGCAGCCCATCTCTCTGTTGTGATGCTGTAGGTGGGGGAGGGGTCCAAGAGGGAACAGTGTCGCTTGCTCGTCTCTTGGCGGGCTTTCAGTCACTTCCCCTGCTAGCCACAAGCACATTGGGCCCTTCTAGTGCTGATTCCCAGGTGGGCTTGTGTACATACTAGGACCCTGTAGCTCTCTCCAACGGACTCTCCCGAGAGACTAGGAGTTTCTCTCACTGCTGCAACCCCCACAGGTTTTTACCTCCAGAGGTTTTGAGGCTTTCTTTTCCAGCTCTAGAGCCCCGCGTTGCTAGGTCTGTCTCGCTCCCCAGCTGTACCTCATGGTTTATCCTCACACAAATGTGGGACCACCCAGTCCACCAGCTGCCACCCTGCTCCACGTCCTCTGCCCCATCTGCCCGTCTCCGCCCCTCCTACTGGTCTGGGTGAATGTTTGTTTTTTAGCTCCTTGGTTGTCGGACTTCCACACAGTTTGATTTTCTGGCACTTCTAGTTATTTTTTGTTTTTAAATTTGTTGTCCTCCTTTTGGTTGTGCAAGGAGGCAAAGTGTATATCTCTACACCTCCATCTTGGCCAGAAGTCAAATACAGAGATACATTTTTTTAAAATTAGCTAAATTTAAGCTGAACTAATCTTTCCCTTATGTTAAAGAATTTTTATACCAAATCCTTTTAAGAAAACAACCTTTGAGTTTAATAAAAATGTTTATTTAAGTTTGTATTAAAGTTGGCAGCAAATAACAGATTTACAAAACAGTTTGTGATCCAGCAGTTTTTTGGATAACAGAAACATCAGTATGTTCAAATGTTAACTTATTTCACTTTTGTAGTAATATTTGTAACATGCAGTTTTCCTGAATAGGTATAAAAATTGTCCTTGGAATTATTTTGTTAAAAAACAGACAAATAGTATCATAGCCCCAAAATACACATTAGGAAAAAGTATGAACATGGTGGGGACAGGGACAGTTGAGGGAGGTTTTGGCTCAGTTCAATCTCTGTGTCCTGAGTCGTCATTCTTTTTTGTTTATAAACTTATGATTCTTATTGTAGCTGTAAGTTGTAACATGTTAACAAATTATTATTGATATAGGCTTTTCAATTTGCTCAAGATTATGAATTGCAAGTGGAATGAAGCAGCATTTCCAGTTGACAAATGGATCCACAGGTAATGCAATGTCTCTTAAATTAAGCTTGTGACAATTAAACCAGCACACTGTAGCAATGAGAAAACTATTCACAAAGTACAGCCACGGAATGTTCATCTCAATATATGCTGGAATCTCTACTTTAAATAAAAGGATAATTATTTGTAGTAGGACAAATGGTAACCAGGTACCGAGAAAACAGACAATGAACTTGGGCAAAAGTGTCTTTTTAGAGGTCACGGTATAACTAGACTGGGATGAAAAGGGAAAATACAGGACAGTCTCATTCATGTAGGAAGTTATCCTAATAGCCTGTATCAAGATAATAACTTCTGACCAAGAGGTTATAAAAGCAATCAATAAAATCATCACCATGGAAAACGACAGCCAGTAACCTTGAATGCTGATGTAGAAAGGACAGTGATAAGAATGAGCACTTTGTGCCTTCAGGTTTTGGTAGATTGCTGGGTCTCCCAAAACATAAGCAAAGGCTGAAATCCAAATTAAAACTACTGTAAAGAAGTAAAATAATTTCTGACACTTAAATGGAAGGTTGGTTTTGGAAAAATTGAGATAATAATCTATACAAGCTATGAGGAAAACTGGATAATGCAAAAAGCCGTAAGTAAAAGAAATAATTTGAGTAAATAAGCAGATGTGGTACTTAGTAAACCTAATGCCTAAAAGCACAAAATCCCTGAAATAGAATATAATGGAAATGTTTACCAAAAGTAAAAGATCAATGAATGCTAGTGAAATGCAAAAATATTCCATAAAATTTTGATAGGTGTTTTTTCTTCTCATTCCCAGTGTGAGGATATTTAATAATATTTTTCCCAGTATAATCAAGACTAGCAGAGAGTTACCATCTAGGAGCTGATTTATTGGGTGTAACTGGTACTGAGAAGAGCAGTTCTCTGAAGAAAGGGCGGTCATATTTTTAGTTAAACCTTAGAAGGCCTGCTGAAATATATACGATAAAACGCTGCTTCACTTTATTTTCCATCCCTGCAAAGAAAAGTGAAAAGATCTTGATGTTACCTTGATTCTATCTCTTTTTTAAAACTACAAACACCTCAATTCTCAAAATCTCATTTAGTCCAATCATTTCCACAAATGTGTAAATAGAAATTTATATTTCTCATAAAACTTACAGAATATGATAAAGAAGAATTAATATGTATACTTTGGTCATTTTTTGAGGCTCGTATCATTTAGAACTCTCAGCGCTATAACCAAAATGTTATATATAAATTAATAGAACTTCCATATAACTACAAGGTTTAATTTGTTTAAAAAAAAAAAAGACATTTACTGAGTGAAAACACAGGCTTAAAATAGCAGCCTACAGGTAATACTCTGAACAATCACTTATAGCTGTTAATCGAGTTCCTCTCTGACTCAAGATAATGTTACCTTCCCCATCCCGCGCCCCCTTTTTTTCTTTTTGTCAGTGAAATAGAGGTAATGCCTATGGGGCCCTCCAGTATAGCAGTTTTTAAAACATTTTAGCTGCAGGGTCATCATTCCTATTATATTTCTGAAGGTCAAAGATATGGAATGGGAGGTTGAGCTGAAAATAAAGGGAACATGGGTAAAGGAAAGAAAGATCTATCTTCTGGACATGATTTTTCAGATGTGGCACCTGGAGAGACAAGGCGGTACAGGGAAGGATTAGGGACTGAGTATGAATACCCGAGAACATCAGGAAGTGCTAGGTAAAGGCAAAGGAACAGGAGGTGATGTTTGAGTGGCAGTTGCACTTGGTGGTAGGAAAAAAAGATGAAAAAGGTCAGAGGGGAAGAAATCAGGAAAGGATGGGAGAAAAGGAAGGAAATATGAGAAATTTATCCTAAAAACAAAAATCACAGTTGATCCAAAGATGTTTCTGCGAAGCAGTTCAACCACAGTATTTCTAAATAGCAGAAGAAAACTGAAATAACAACTATCCACAGACGTCAACAACTACAGGGGGTTAAAAATGACCCACAATCCATCCTTGCCTATCACACAGCCATATGATAAATTTCCATAATATGTTTAAGTGAATTGCAGCCTACAAAATTATGTCATTAATTTTTAGACATCTATAGAAAAAAAAGGTACACATTATCTTATTAATATGGTAGTATTATAGGTCTTTCTGAATTTCTCAGACTTTAAGGGAAAAATAAGGGAATATCAAGCCTGAAAAGCGAAGAACTACATTTGCTGAAGAACAGATAACTGATTGTTCCATCTTTTCATTGTCCAGTTTTTGCAAGAAACCTGCTAAGTCGGGGTAGCCAGCACCTCTCATGCTCAAAATCTGATCTCCCTCGAACCTGCCCAGGTCCCTCCTCATCCCTCACCAGGCCCCAGGTGATGTCCGGTCACCCCAACCTGCCTTCTGTGAGAACCCAGTTCGGGTTTACCCAGACTCCTCTCTCACCCCTGCTGTTTCCTTAGTGACACTCCATCCACTGACCGCCCCCACCTGGCACCTTGGCTATAAATTCCCACATGTATTTGGAGTTGAGCCCAATCTTCGGTCACTGCAAAACTGTCACCGTGCTCCCTACATCTATTGCAGTGGTTCTGAATAAGGTCTGCCTGCCATTCTTCCACAGGGTCATGAGTAGTTTTTTCTTTAACACACTCGAATGGCTGTAAATCCACCAATGCCATAAATTCATTTACTAAGGTGCACAAATAATTGTTTTCACACATGTAGTGTATGTAAAAAGTTATAAAAGTTTCATTCAATACTCATTCATTACCATAGGTATGAAAGAATGAATGAGACAAGTTCTCTTGTACATTCAAATTTTTTCCTTTTAGTTCAATATGACCCCATCCCGAAAAAGCCTCATTCCAGATTCAGTAGGAGATATACAAGGGCATGGAATCATGGTGACCGTCTTGACAAATGACACCAACTTTATAAGTGGTGGTGCTGGGACAAGGAGGCATAGATAGAGTAAGACCCCATGAAGCCCTCTTGTGCCAAGAGAAAAACAGGCTTAGTTTTAAATATCAAATGCTGGTTCGGAATGGAGGTGAGGAAGGGAAATAGTGTGGGTTCATATTTACAAAGACCCCCCCCTTTAAAAAAAGTGTCTTTAGGATAAAATTGAGAGTTACCTGTATAAAATGATTTTATCCTTAATAACTCCCAGGCAAAATTAAGCAAGCAAAGCTAAGGAATCCATGTTGAAGTAGGCAACATCCAATGGGTGCTCCCCAAGTTTCCGTCTCGTGACTGACTCACAGTGAGGCAGCTGGAAGGCCAGAAAAGCAGGCTACTCCCAGCAAAGGTGCAGGAAGAGGAGGAGGGTCAGCTACAGCCACCAAGGCAGCAATGAAAGAGCTCCTTAGAAGAGAGTTTGAGGAATGAACACAAAAGAAGTCTGAAAAGGAATATATAAGGGGACCATAAAGCTGGAAGACCCTTTAGATACGAGGGATGAAAAGGCCCAGGGAAGACAGGCAACTTGAGGCAATAAAAAACCACCGAAAGAAGTTTTGGTCATTTAACAGTGGTTCCTGAATACCATAATCATGGAAACCAAAGCTTTCTGAAGTGATACCAATGTTACACCCCATGTCCTTGATAAACCACTAAAAGAGTATTCAAAGCTCCGACATTTTGTTCTCTAAAACAATCCCCACCCCCAGGACAAGACAATAGTCCTTTGATAAGCTGCCTGTCCCGAATTTTCCCTTGAAAAATGTTCACGTTATCTCCAAGGATTCAGAGATTTATAAGATATAAGATATGGCTCTTTTCCTGAATATTTTTTTACCTACTTACGAATCAGCTCATTGCTTCATATACAACTTACAGAGTTAATGTGGAAGTCCTTTTCAAGGCATCTTGCGGCCGGCTTTGCGATCTGACCCGTCCAGAAGTATTGCAGGGCCTGAAGGAAACCACAGTTTCTTTTCACTGACCCAGTCTCTCCTTTCCTGTTTATTAACAACCCAGTTCTTAACAACATACCATACTTACTCTGCTTTCTCCAGCAGGTCTTTCAGCTGATAATCTTCCTATTTTACTTCAGTTTAGTGCCTTGAATTATCTTACTTTTGGTTCCTGGCATACAAAAATGCCACATAAATAAGCTGTGTGAAAGGAAAACAAAAAAATAACCATCATTAGCTGTCTTAGTAACTGGAATTCAATATAACTGGCTCCAGATATCTTAGAAAAGTCATAACTTGCTGAGGGATTAGTGCCAGGAACTAACTGCTTATAATCTTTTTTCTGCAAAAGGAAGAAAGAGGATACTTAGATTAAAAGTCCACCAAAGACCATGAGATATAGGTGCATGTAACATGGCAGCTATTTAGAGAAGTCTTGCTTATATCGCAGTTTTCACCCATAGGCTTTGGAGTCTAAACTAGCAGTTCTCATAGTTTGGCTACAGGACCTTTGGACACTTGTTGCATGTTAACATAAGTAACAGGGGTTTTTTTTATTGTTTTTGTTTAAGTGAAAAATTACTGTGTTTTCCCAAACACAAAAAATATAATGAGCAAAGTAGTATTGTTTCACATCTCACAAATTGCTTTGGTCTCTGGCTCAATAGCAGACAGCTGAATTTTCATCTGTGTTTAATCAGTTGTGATATCACACTTCATGTAGCTTTTGGGAAGTCCTCTGTACGTTCATGAGTTTGAGAGTAAAACAATACCTTTTTAAAAACAGGTAACAGATTATACTTCATAGTAGTATTATAATCAAATAGTTGTATTATGCAGTCTCAGGAAAGTTTAACAAACCCACGTGCATTAAACAGTAGGATGGGAAGATGAGCAGTTAACATTAGCATGGTAGCTGGATTTTCTGATTACACATGGAGAAAGCCTGTGGCAAAAATAATGTATTGAGCCTTGTCCAGAAGTTTTACATACCTTTCATCTAATCCTTACAGCAATCATGAAAGGTAGGTATTACTTTTTCCCCAGGAGGAAAAAGGCTTGGGGGTTAATAAGCACGTTTCTTGAGATTGCGTGACTGACAGACACGTGTTGGAGCTTTCGAGCAGTCTCAGGTCTGATCTCAAAGATCATGACATTCAGTAAGCCTCACTTATGGCTCCACTCACAGCTGGAAATGTAGAAAGCGACCCCTTTATGTATTCGAAAGAGCTTTCTGAAAAGGTAATAGGCAGTTGAGAGTGACGATGTTGATGACTGGTACTCAAAGGACCATCACTAATTGATCTGTTTGGATAATGTAATTTTATTCCTCCAAAAGGTAAATATAAATACATTTTAATTTTAAAAGTATGGGCTTTATCTGATGATATGTCAAAATTCAGTGGAAAAAATAAAATGGCATTCAACTGACAGCTAAAGAAATAGGTGTTTTGTTTTCATTCATTTACATAGTATAATAAGATGCAATATAGAAAATTTAAGGAAATACAGGAAAAGTTCTTTACAATTTTTTTAAAAAGTAGGTAATACTAATTACACAGCCTAAAAACTCAAATGACAGAAGTGTATACAACGAAAATAACTAACCCTAACCCACTCTTTCAACACCCCTCACCCCCACTCATCACTGTCCAGTCCCTCCCTAGATAAAACCACTGCTACGTTACTTGCACAGCTTTCGGGGATAGTCTAAGTGAAGGTTTTAAAAAGAAATTTGAAATTTCCGTGTTATTAAAGCAACTAGCAAAGGATTCTTGATTTGCCCTTTTCCAGCTTCACTCACATACTGGTAAGATGAGGTAAGAGTTGTAAAGGTATGCCACCCCTAAACGGAGTCAGCGATCTGTTAGAGCACCGGAGTGATCTCCATCAACCCCAACCAGGCTGGCCATGAGGAAGGGCAGTGGCGCCAGGCAGGATGATAGGAAGTAGGGATTATCTCCGAGTGGGAGGATTGGTGAGTTTTACCCACTGGGGTATAGAATTATGGTGCTTGCCCGTACCTGCTGCTTCTAAGCCTGTGGAAAGCTTTTGGTTCCTTGACCCTTAAAATTTTTAAGTTGGCCCATGTAGCTATTTCTCGCCAATGGGCTGTAAGGCCGAAGCTTTACATTTCAGAAGAGAGCGCCTTGCATTCAGTGTTCTCTTCCCCTGCCACAGGGAGTAAAGGGGCATGTGTTCCACAGGGTACAGTTCAAGATGGCAGAGCCTCTGCCAACCTGGGTCCTCGTGTAACTGTGTGGAGCAAAGCCCCTATTCACAATGCATGCATAGTGGGTGAAATAAAAGTCGTCATATTAAAGCTGCCAGAATTTTGTTGTTATTTTTTATGTCCTAGTCTAATACAATTATTTAGATAATTCTCTGAACCCTTTAAAATTTTTTAACAGCTACTATGATCAGAGTTTTTTTTGAAATTTAAAGAAAAAATTTATTGAAGATCTGAAAAACAATTCTTAAAAGATTGGCTTTTCCAGAAAATGGTAGTTACACAAGGTATGGCATCTATCGTGTTAAAACGTGCATTAGACACAAATACAAAAACCATTAACAAGCCCCCACGCTTCCACAATCTGAGCAAAGATAAAATGCCCGAGGAACAACGTGGACGACTTGAAACGGGTAAGCTCTTTACATTAAGCACCAATAAAAAAAGAAAAGGAGTACAAATGGGTGAGTGTGATCAGTTACATACACTGAATCGAACCTTCAGCACTTGGAATCAGCATTTGTCATATAGCATTAACACATATTGTAAAGCATAGTGTCAAAGGAATAGAACCACCAGCGTTCAAAAGCAGCTTTGTCAACTAGGCAATAGAACACCCTACAGTATGTCTCTCCACTGTCCATCAATACACTGGCAGCAACTTTAAAATGTTAAAAGAAAAAAGCTATAACCCCTTTTATTTTCTCTAAGATCAAACAAAACAAACAATTCTGTTATACACTAACATTTTCCAAGTACATCGTTTGTACAAGAGGAGGACTAAGAACAGGAACGCGTCAACAGAGATCCACACCAGCGTAAGCGAGCGCCTCACATGGCTTCCCGGTGTGACTCAGGAGGGGCCACTTCATAGTCGCTGGCACTAAACAAAGTCGCAGAATTCTTTGCCAGGTATTTTAGGAAATCATGAAGATAATTTAGTAATAAAGCAAGGCTCTTCTCATCCAGAGGTGTACAGGCCAGCATTGCTCCAATTCATACAAACATCTCAGTAGATGTGGCGCTCCACACGCCTGGGACGCCTGGGACGTGGGTGCATCAGGGCGTCTGTGAGGATCTCAGCATACTGTGGCCTCTCAAATTTGTAGAGCCGCTGAGTGCCCAGCATCACGTTGAAGTATTCCTTTATCCCCGCCACAGCTTCATTGCCAGCACACTCATTATCTGTGTTTCCTTGAGATTTCTTGTAATTTGCATAATCTTCCAGAATGAAATCCACATTCTTCTTGGCAGGAAAATAAAAGAGCTGTTTCTGCCTGGTAATTAGGTCCCAATCATCAACAAGCCAAGGTTTTAGTTCTTCAGGAATCTTGACTTTCACTTCAACTCTGTTCATGAACGTCTCCTCGTTTCAACAGTAGGATCTACTCGAGCTCTCTTCTTGCAAGGACGCTGAGGGGTCTCACTGGTACTGCCGCAGTCTCCATTTCCAGGTGTTCTCTGTTTGCTCTTTTTTGTTTTCACTTCAACATTTTTCTGCTGCAGACCAGATGACTCCTTTTCCTCCTGATTGGCTTTCTGAAGTTCTTGCTCTTTCTGCAGATTGGTGTCCACGTATTTGAGTACTCTGCTTTCTCGAACCCATTCATCCCAATTTTTATTACGGCCACTGTAATGTATAAAGTATTTCACTTGTTTGTCCTTTATGGCAACCTTTACACACTTTGCTTCATGAAGAAGAGGCCCATGAAAGCACAGCACTTGCTCTCCCCCCTCCTGGAATTTAGGCTTTGGGTCCTGTATAAGAATTTCTAAAAAGCTATAGTAGAAACAAACTTTGAAAAGCAACAATGTATAAGAAAATAGGTAAAATCAAAATTCATTTTTAATTTCCATAGATTAATTACTTTTGTATTCTTTTACTGTGATTTTCTTATACTTGCTTGTAATGGAAAAGAAGGTTTCAATTCAGTGAACTAAGTTACCTTAAGAAAAAGAAGGGTGAATGAAACCCAAAATTAAGCTAAAGGAAGGATATAAAAAAGGAGTAGAAAACAATGAACCAAAAGCTGGTTCTTAAAAAACAAAACAAAACCCCCCAAAACGTAAACCTCTAGCCAAACTAAGAAAGAACTTACCAATATTAGGAAAGACAGGACCTCATTACAGATCTTAGAAACCTAAAAAGATAATAGGGGACTATTTTGAATAATTTTTTTTCCAATAAATGAGACAACTGTGATGAAACAGATTTCTGGGAAGACACTAAAACTCATTCAAAAAGGTCCCTAAAAATCTCTACTACAGAATTGATTTTGAACTTAAAAACCTTCGCACAAAGAAAGAAACTCGAGGTTCAGATGTCTTCATTGATGAAGTCTACCAAACATTTAAGAAAGAAATACCAACCGAAGAGGACAAAAACACCACCCAGCCCTTACTGGTGTGAGTGGGCTGGGCATCATACTGCAAACTTAAAGGTCGCTGGTTCGACTCCCGGTCAGGGCACATGCCTGGGTTGTGGGCCAGGTCCTGGGATGGCGGCATACGAGAGGCAATCGATGTTTCTCTCCCTCTCCCTCCCTCTACCTCTAACAATAAATAAAATCTCTAAAAACAAACAAGCAAACAACTCCTTTTACAAGAGCAGAATTACCCTGATACCAAAAATGAAGCTATTTCAAGAAAACTAAATTGTACATCAACAACCCTCAAGAACAGACGCAAAATCCTTACCAAGATATCATTAAATTAAATCTATCAACATAAAAAATGTATCCCACTACATCATAGCCAACGCAAGCTTGTTTTAATCAATTGATGTAATTCACCATGTAAACAATAAAGGAGAAAAAACATATGATCATCTGAGTACACAGAGAAAAAGAATTTAACAAAATCTCACATAATGAAAACTCACCAACAATAGGGACTTTCCCAACCAGATAAAAAGTATCTATGGAAAAGCTACATCTAACCTCATGCTTAGTGATGAACAGTGGCCATTTCC